CACTGATGGAGTGTCGAGGGCAATGTCAGGGGCTGCTCGCCTGGAAGACACTAGTCGCCTGGCCGGCGCTGGGAGCACCAGTTGGGGGATGGAGCCTGCCTGGGCTGTGCAAGTGACAGCTGATCTGGGATCCGGAGGATGCATCTGAGTTAGCCCAAAAAGTGGGGGAAAGGGTGTTGCAGGTACACAGAACAGCATGGGCAAAGGCCCAGTGATGATAGAGAATGTTGGGTTTGGGGAACCGAAAGTTCATTATGGCCAGTGCAAAGAGTATGGTGTTTGGGGATAGTAAGGTGAGAGATGACGGCTGAGGACGGACGCAGCGGCCCCGTCTTTCAGAGCCTGATAAACAACATTAAAGAATTTGAACTTTAATACTGAGAGATTGTAAACTGAAGAACGACACGATTAGATTTGTGTTTTTGAAAGATTACTCTGGCTGCAGTATGGAGAATGCATTAGATGGGAGTGAAACTAAGGGCAGGGAGACCACTTGGGCTGTAGGTGTCATTTTGGCGAGAGATGATGGTGTCCTGAACTAGAGAAGAAGCAGGGAGAGAAGTGGGCGGATTCTAAATAATCTGGAAGGTACAACTCCCAGGACTTGGAGATTAGTTGGGGGAGGTACGGTAAGAGAGGGCCAGGTCCCTGGATGATGCTCAGATTCTGGTTTAGGAAGCATGTGGCTAGTAGGCCCTTAGTCAAGGTAAGGAACATAGGAGAGGAGACTTGGAGTTCTGCTGTGTGTGAGAAATAAGTTCAGTTTCATACATGTTGAGTACAGTTGATAAAAAGGGCAGCTACTGGCTTACCTGGTGGGGTGACATGGATGACCACCCCGGAGAGATCTGACCTCTGGTCACTCTGCCCTTCTCAGGCCAGAGTTGCTACACTTGTCCCTTTACTGTCACAACTGGGCAAGAGAGTACCAAAAGGTGTCCAAGTGGATCACCTAAGTGCCAAAAACATTCTTCCGTGCTCCTGTTGTGAAACAGCAGCCCAGTTCTTTATGATCAGGGTCAGTTTCTCCTGCTAATGTGGCGACTCCTTTTCTTGCCTAAACACGAGGGGCCAAAGTGCCCAAGTGGCAGCTGTAGCTTAAAGTTCAACAAGATCCTTGCTGTGTTCCCTTGTGGAAGTGTTCCTTCTTTGGGGAACACTTTAATCTTGCAGAGCCCAAAATTGTGGGGCAGGAAGCATAAATGTCTTAAGTGGGTCATTGGGAGTGATGATAAGTGAGGCCACTCCTGCTTCTTTCTACCCCTTAGGAACCAGTCCTATGTATTGTTACTATTGGGACAAAGCATCATAAAAAGATCTTTGATTCAAGGTGTATGCTGCACCCTGGAAATGGCATCCCATCCTCATAAAGTAGTCCCTCTGAATTTGGCTTCAGCTGTGCCTTCAACAGGCCATTTCAATGCTCTATTAGGCAGAGTTTCTGAGTAATGTGGTACGATGGTTTAAAATAGATCTGCAAATTATTTGACACTCCCTTCCAAAAAAAAAAACCCATTGCCATCAAGTCAATTCTGACTCATAGTAGCCCTATAGGGCAGAATAGAACTGTCCCATAGGGTTTCCAGGGAGCAGCTGGTATATTCAAACTGCCAACCTTTTGGTTAGCAGCTGAGTTCTTAACCACTGTGCTACCAAGACTCCTACCTTCAAAAGATGGAGCTTAATTCTTTTCCCCTTGAGTGTGGGCTGGACTTAATGGTTCACTTCTAACAAATAAAGGAGATATGATGGTGTGTGACTTCGAAGACTGGGTCATATAAAGTACTGTGGTTTCTTTCTTCTTTCACTCCCTCTCTCTCCCTGATTACTTGCTCATTATAGGAAGTTAGCTGCTATGTTGTAAGAACTTTCAAGCTGCCCTATGGAGAGATCCACCTGGCTAGAAACTCCTGCCAATAGCCATGTGAATGAATCTTTTTGGAAGTAGATCTTCCAGCCCCAAACAAAAGATGAGATGGTTGCAGCCCTGGTCAGCGTGTTGACTATAATCTCGTGAGAGACCCTGAACCAGAACCATCCCACTAAGCTGCTCCCAGATTCTTCACACTCAGAAACTATGTGAAATAACACATGTTTCCTGTTTTAAGTCACCGAGTTTTGGGGTAATTTGTTATAAAGTAATAGATAACTGATACATACGGTATGCAGTATAACCGTGGTCATAAGCCATACCTCCTTTGCTGTAAAGCAAGCACTCTGGACTGATAACAGTATTGTACGGGATCCCATGTCAGTAGATCAAGCACTTCATAAACCCTCTGATAGTAATGCTGGCAGGGGACCAAAATACGTGTTTGTTTGTTTTTCTGTCACAACAGATCAATGGTCTTGCATGGTGGAAGGACGCAATGTTTTTAACTTGCCACCAAGTGACCAGTTGATCTCTTTGAGGAATAGTGCCCTGTAGGGGCTCAACATTAATCTCTGTTGCTGGCATGTTGAACATTTGGTGGCAGCAGTGGATAAATCAACCCTGAAAAGTAAGAGTCCATGCTATTGGACGCATGCACAGATTCTGTCTCTGACACTGTGGCCATTTATGTGACCATTGTACCAGCACTGGGGTGGCCAGTGATAGAGACTCACTGATGTCAGCTGGCCAAGTTACTCTGCCTGCTTGGTTATTTGGTGCCTCTTCCATTGTAGAAGCTCTCTGGTGGGCATTAACATGTGAAACAGAGATTTTCACAGGTTATGCCCACTCCCATACGTCCATCTACCTGCCTCTACCCCAGACCTTCTTGTTCCCAATATTCCAGTCTCTCTCCCTCCAGGTCCCTTATCAGCTGGCCAGATCATTCCTTGCTGTTCAGAAATCCATATATATTCTAACAATGGGCCACTCTGTCTATACAAAGTGGATGTCCAGGTGCACTATTTTGTGTAGCTGGGAGAGGTACTGAGCAGAGAAAACATTAAGCTCCATCATGAGGAATGAGTGTGGTTTAAGCAGTTACCAGCTGGGATGAAAAACTGATGGTAAGTATGAACAGTATAGACAGAGTCGGGTTAGATTATGGAAGCTCTAGAATTCTGTGACATGTTTACAGTATCGGCCAAAGGAACAGGTTTTTAGCTCTGGATGCCACATTTTAAAATGAAGATAGACAAACTGTTAGATGTCCAGAGTGGGTCAATCAGTGGACTGAATATAAATTGTATCAGGGCAATTACTATCAGGACGTCATTGGATTTAGAAACAAGGAGAGAGACGCAGATGAGAGCTCAATATGATGTAAGGTCAGTGAGTCAAGGATCGTCAAGGGTTTCCAGCCTAGGAAGACGTGGGCATTTACAGAAATAGGGAAGATAAGAGGAGGAAATATGGGGAAATATTAAATTTGATATGCCAAAGATGTATCTCCCAACTGGAACTGCCAAAGGGCAGTTAGAAATGTATGTTGGAGCTTAGGGAAAGAGATTATCAAATTGTAGATAACTCATACTTGAAGCTAGAAAAGAAGGTGCTGGCTGGGCTTTGGAGAAAACCCACTTTTAAGGCTGTGGGTGGAGAAAGAAGAGTCAGTGAAGGAGGCAGATAGGAAGTCTGAAGAGATAGGAGAACCAAGTACCTGTGGACTCTGGAAGTCAAAGCAGAATTTCAAGAAGGAAGAGGTGGTGGAGTGTTAACTAGTGATGGAAGAAAATTGGAAAAGGCAATTTGATTTGGTGAGGTATTTCAGGACCTTGGAGAGGATGGTTTTTATGTAATGTATTCAGATGAGTTGGGGACCAGACTGCCAGAGAGTGTTACAATTCTTTCAGATTCACTCTGGGAGCTGGCTTTTTTTGCCAGCAATACGCTAGGTGTTTCGGAAAGAAAACAGCAGTTGTGGATCCAAGAAGCCAATAGAGTGACGAAGGAAGAGACAAGTGAATAAATAATTAGGAGCAAACCTAAAAAACCAAACCCACTGCTGTTGAATCAATTCTGACTCCTAGCGACCCTATAGGACAGAGTAGAATTACCCCATAGGGTTTCCAAGGCTGGAAGCTTTACGGAAGCACACTGCCACATCCTTCTCTGGGTTCCAACCGCCAACCTTTCGGTTGGCAGCCGAGCGCTTTAACCCCTGCGCCACCAAACCAAAAAACCCGTTGCCAATGAGTGGATTCTGACTCATACGACAAAGTAGGACCGCCCCATGGGAATGCCAATGAGCGGCTGGTGGATTCAAATTGCCTATCTCTCGGTTAGCAGCTGTGCTCTTAACCACTGCACCACCAAACCAAAAACCAAACTGATTGCTATCAAGTGATTCCAATTCGTAGCGACCCTGGAGGACAGAACAGAAGTGCCCCATAGTGTTTCCAAGGAGCGGCTGGTGGATTTGAACTTCCGACCTTTATGGTTAGTAGCCGAGCTCTTACCCACAGTGCCACCAGGGCTCCTTAAATAATTGGGACACAGTGTTGAAAGTGCTTTAACAGAGGCGCGCACAGGATAGGACAGAAGCCCAGCGAACTGCGTGGCCCCGCGAGGCTGGGTTGGAGAAGGGTAAGTAGGGTGGTTTGCTGTCGGAGGGGTGAATCTTCTAGGATTCTGCAGGGGCAATTCTAGGAGAACTGGCTCTCTGAGGCCATGGACAGCTCTTAGGGGTTGCAGGCAGAGGGGGCTCGAGAGGACCCAGGCGCCTGAGGGCGAAGGGGAGGGGAGGCGGTTGGCAATATCTGGATCCGATCCGAACCATGCAGCGATGGAGTTTGCAGCCAGAAGGCAGGATGCAGAAAGGAGATAAGCTCCACTGAATTCTCTCCTATTTTCTAACCTAGGACAGTAAAGATCAGGAGGGGTGGAAGCCGGGCCTTTTGGAGAGCTGATGGCCCAAAAGCCTCAGTTCTCTCGGCTCGATACCCTTGCTACCTTGCCTGGGTCTCCTCACCGGGCCGGAACTTTAGTGTCCAAACCGCTGGTTTAGTGCCGGACGTAAAAAGTCGAAGAACCTGGTCGGGAAAAGTGGAGAACCCGATCGAGAAGAGCGGGGACCCGGGAGGAAGCTACTGCCAGCCGCCGTCCGTAGAGGCGAGCTTACCCACGTCTGTGCCTGGTACGTCCGGGACTTGGGACAGCGACCCTGCCCTGGCAGTTGAGGGTTGAGGGCGCCGCCCCGCTGCGGCGAACGTTCAGCCTCCCGCGGCCGGACGGCGGGGTCGGGGCCGCTCCCGCGGTCAGGATCGGGAGCTCAACGCCGGGGCTGCACTTGTTTTTTGCCACTTGTTAGCTGTGCGACCTCGGGCAGTTTAATCTTGGAAGCTTTGTTTCCTCGTCTCTACCATTGGATTGGGGCCCTGGTGGCGCAGTGGTTAAGCGTTTGGCTGCTAACCAAAAGGTCGGCCGTTGAATCCACCAGCTGCTCCTGGGAAACTTTATGGGGCGGTTCTACTGTGTCCTACAGGGTAGCAATGAGTCGGAATAGACTCGAGAGCAACGGGTTTGGGTTTTGTTTTTTTTTTTTGTACCATTCACAATGCGTAATACATAATGTTTGCTCATAGTAGGTACGGGGTAAATATTTATAGACTTGGAAGATAAGTCCATGAATTTCACAGTACATGACCTGCGTTGAGTTTGAAGTTGTGTGCCTTCATTGCTACGCTGGTAACTCAGTGTCTCTTCTGTTGTAGGTGGCGTTCGGCTGTTCACTGACACTTCTTTCCCTGGTGGCCCAGGAGAATTTTACATTTTGGCTTTTTTTGTTATGGCTTTGGTTCACAAGTTGCTGAATGGCGTCTATATTCTCAGAAAATGTCAGATGCCAAGTGCTGCGTCCTGCCTGTTCGTGGGTCCTCACTTTGCAGACTACTGTTCCAGTAGCCTTCAGAAACCTATGGTTGCCCCTGGCAAAGCGGGCTCCCCTCAGAGGAAGACTGAAAGGGATTTGCAAGGACATCCCCAGAGAGAAGTTGATTTGGACATAATTTCTCCCGAGGAGAAGCCTGAAGTTAGCTTTGATAAAGCAATTCAAGATGAAATAAAGGACCGTTTTAGGCGTTTGAAGGAGGATTTTGTGAATCACTGGATAGGGCCTGAAGGCCGCCCTCTGCATGAGGTCTTGCTGGAACAAGCAAAGGTTGTCTGGCAGTTTCGTGGAAAAGAAGATCTGGATAAGTGGATAGTGACTTCTGATAAGACGATCGGAGGCAGAAGTGAAGTATTCCTGAAAATGGGCAAGAATAACCAAAGTGCACTGTTGTATGGAAATCTGAGCTCTGAGGCCCCTCAGGATGGGGAGAGTGGCCGCAGCGGGTACTGTGCAATGATATCCAGGGTCCCAAGGGTAGGTGAGGCCCAGCAGCCACAGTCTTCTAGTGAACAAGGGTGAACTTAACTGTAGCCTGAACTATAGCAGACAGCTTTTGTTCCTGTGAGAACAGCTGGCCAGTTCGGTGTGTGTGTATCTCATCTATGTGTTGGCATAAATGACTGCCGGGCACAAGTGTACAATGAAATCACAAGGAGGAAGCGGTTCCTCAGGAGGGGCTACTTGTTTCTGGGCATCTCTTTGGGCCAGGGTGGAACGTTCTTAGGTTTGAAGACCCCTGAGAAGTTAGCCGTTGGAGAGTTGGGCTGGGGAGATTTGCATCTCCTCTGACATAGACCACAGCCCCTGTAAGGGCCAGCATTTCTTTAGGGTGGATGTAGGTCAGCCTGTTGCATTCTTTTAATGTAAACTTTTTGTTCTAGAATAGTTTTCCATGTACTGAAAAGTCGCAGAGGTGGTACAGAGAGCTCCCGTGTACCCCGCAGCCGGTTTCCCCTGTTGGTATCTTCCTTCACTGCAGTATGTCTCTCACAGCTAAGAAGGCAGCATTGATACACCACTGTTAACGGAATTCGGACTTGATTCGAATGTCACTAGTTTCTCCATTGATATCCTTTTCTTTCTGGGATCCCATCCAGGATACCACATTACATTTACTTGTCGTGTCTCCTTAGTCTCCACTGATCTGTGACAGTTTCTCAGTCTTGTTTTTCATGAGGATTTGAGAATTGCTGGTCAAGTATTTGATAGAATGACTCTCAATTCGGGTTTTTCTGATGTTTTTTTTCTCCTGATTAGACTAGTATCTTAGTTATCTAGGGCTCCTATAACAGAAATACCACAAGTGGATGGCTTTAACCACCAGGAATTCATTGTCTCACAGTTTAAGAGGCTAGAAGTCCGAATTCAGAGCATGGGCTTTCGGGGAAGATTTTGTCTCTCTGTGGGCTCTGGAGGAGGGTCCTTGTCTCGTCAGCTCCTGCCTCCTGGTTCCGTGATCTTTATGTGTCTTAGCATCTGTCTTAGCCCATCTCTGTTCTGGTTGCTTGCTTTATCTCTTTTATATCTCGGCGATTGACTCGAGGTAACACCCAACAGTAATCCTGCCTCATTCACGTAACAAAGACACCCCATTCCCAAATGGCATTTTAACCACAAGCATAGAGGTTAGGATTTACAACACATATTTTTTGGGGCCACGATTCAATCCTTAACAACTGGAGTTATGGGTTTCGGGGAAGAATAGCAGAGTTGAAGTACCCTTCTCATCACATCATATCAGGGGTACATGCTATCAACATGACCTGTCACTGATGTTGTTGACCTTGATCACCTGGCCAAGGTAGGTTTCTCCACTGTAAAGTTACTTTCTTTTCCTCCTTTCCATACTCTGTTCTTTAGAAGCAAGTCAAAAGTGCAGCCCACATTTAGGGCGAAAGGAGGGGATTAAGTATCTCCTGGCTGGGGAGGATCTACATAAGATATTTGAAATAAAGATTTGTTTCTTCTCCCACATTTATTTATTCATTCAATCATTTAGTATAGACCTATACTTTGGGTTATTATCTAATATTATTTATTTTGTTGCTCAAATTATTCCAGCTTTGGCCATTGAGAACTCTTGCAGGTTAGTGCCTGTTGTCTTTTTGACATGTTCCCATCCTTTTGTTTTTGGGGCATTTTTGGCACTACAGTATGCTCAGGCTCATCTTTTATTTTCCCTGTCCCAGCCCTGGAATCAGCAATTTCCTGAAGGAAGCTTCCTTTATTTTGGAGAATGGTATTAGAAACCAAGATCTGGGCACTGGGTGTGCTTGTTGTTACTGGGGTGTCACTACTTCTACGCTGTCTCAGTGGACAAAGCTAGGAAATATATGTATACATACTAACACATGTACACACACATCTATAATTATATCTGCATCTGTCCATCTATAGTAAAGTAGACATGAGTTCATACTGATACTTCCAATTCTAATCCAGTACCACATGGTTCACTGTAGCCTCCCCCGTTGCTTATCTGTAATTTCCCTCTCCAAGAAGTGAGAAACCTGTCTTCTGCCATCCACTATCCATTTATTTATTTATTTTGTTACTGTGTTTTTGGTGAAAGCATACAAAGCAAATTAGGTTCCCATTGAACAATTTCTATACTTATTATTAAGTGACATTGGTTACATTTTTTACAATGTGTCAGCATCCTCATTATTTCCATTCTGGTTGTTCTATTTCCATTAATCTAGCTTCCCTGCCCCCCACCCTTACCTTCTCATCTTTGCTTTAGGGTAAATACTGACTCTTTGGTCTTATATAGATGATTATTTAAAGGAACACAGTACTCAAAGGTGATTTTCTAATTTTATGAACAATCTGTTATTTGGCAGAATGGTGTCCTCTCGGAGTGGGTTAAGTTCCATGTTTAAAGGGTATCTCAGGGCGATAGTCTTGGGGGATCCTTTTCCATTTATTTATTAATTTAAACTCAGTATACATGTAAAGCAATTTCAGAATTTTTAACCTGTAGTGCCATGAGAAACAACTTTATCAACTGGAGTTCAGTGTTTATATACATCTTTTGTTTTCAGCCTTACAGTTTCTAGTCAAAACACCATTTTCCAAAGTTACTTAGGTCAGTTCCTTTTTTTTCCCGAGCAGTGTATGACTGCGAGAATTTGCTGACCAGTTGTTTCAGGGCTGTCCCACATAGGCTCCCATGCTTCGCCTGGCCACAGCCCCTGGATGTTTGGTTGCACTGTGTGCTTAAGGAGAAAGGCAGATGTCGAGAGTAGTTTTAGGCTCCCTCTCTCCACGTAATAATGAAAAAGAAAAGGATGTGCTCTTTTAAAGGCAGCAAACAAGGCATACAAAATGATTCTTTCAGGCCCTGAAAATCCACAGAATGGTAGATACCCCTCTGGACTAATGAAAATATTAGATAACATTGATTAAGTGTACTCTGCAGATCCTTGTACTAGGCACAAAATACATTATCCTACTTATTCCTCACGATAATCCTGTGTGGTATGATTACCTCAGTTTTGCAGATGAGGAAACTGAGGCTCCAGGAGAGTTAGTAATTTGTCCAAAGTTACATAGCTAATAAATATTGGTTCATATATGAGCACTGGTATTTTTTTTTTTTAGGGCTGGTATTCTTGAAATCAGATTACCTCTGAGATTGCTATAAATATGGAAATTAATGCTAAATTCCACTTTTGAAGAGAGAGTAGAATTAGTTAAGAAGACAGATTTTGGACTTAAACAGCTCTGGATCACTTGTTAGCAGAGGGCTCAGTTTCTTCATCTGTAAAATGGGGACAATGATAGTACCTATCTCATAGGGCTGTTGTGAGGATTAAATGAGATTAGGCATGTAAAGTGTCTATGTAAGTATTCAATGAATGGTAGCTATTATTAAGTATCAATGTTAAAACTTGAGTGTTGTCTTTTATAGTTTTGTGTCTTGAACATTACCTTAGAAACATATATAAGTATGCCAGTAATTTGTGTTAAAATAAGAGTCACCAGATTTATCTGCTTTATGGTGGTAGGAAGCCCCCCAAAAAAGCAGAAAAATGAGCAATGGATCCTTTTGATGATGCTGACTTAGTGACAACTCACATTTTGCTAATAGTGGAGAATAAGGTCAAATTAACTTTCCTTTCTATACCTCAGGGCACATTTGAGAGGAAGAAGTCCTATGATTGGTCTCAGTTCAACACTCTGTATCTCCGTGTCCGTGGGGATGGTCGACCTTGGATGGTGAATATCAGGGAGGACACGGATATAATCCAGAGGAAGAACCAGATGTACAGTTACTTCATGTTCACCCGTGGGGGGCCCTATTGGCAGGAGGTCAAGGTAACAGCACAAGTCTTTACTGTTGATGAAAACAAGGTCTTTTGAGATCATAGTTACATTGTCATTTTCTTTTTCTTACTAATCCTTTCCGGAAGGTGTGGGGAGAAGGAAGAGGACTAGAGGAGAGATTCCCATAAATGACTTTTTCTTTCATTAATATAAATGTCAGCTTATTAACTAGTAACTATTTTGATGAGGATAGCAACCAGCTCCATGCTGAGTCATGGGTCCGAGTAGATTTTTTTGTTTCTGTCATGTCTTCTCTTCCAGACAACCCCACTAGCTTAGTAGAAAGGCTCCCTTAAAGGGAATAAACACATCACAGTTTACAGTCATCAAAACTTTTATTTATTTCTTGGTACTGTAATGGAGTCTTGTTTTCTAAATGAGAAGATGGAGCTTTGAGAAGAAGGTAAGCAGTGTTAACCTGAAGGAAAACAAGACAAAGTTCAGGGAGTGGAGGCAAGATCGGGTGCCAGTCTACCTCCTGAAGGGTTCAGTCGCTAAACTTGAAAGAAAGTCCCCCATTTTGCTCATGCCATACAGAGGACAGTCTTTTGATGTTAAGGGCAATTAGTTTGGGACCTTAATTACATCTGCAGTAGGCAAAAATGATAGGTAAAAATGGTATTTCAATGGTGTTAATTTGCATTTCCTTAATTATGTGTGACACTGAGCATTTGTTAATGCTTATTACCTGTTTTAGTTCCTTTTCTGGCATTTGCTCACTTTTCTGTTGTGTTGTTTTATCTTTTCTTAGTTACTTATAAAATGTTTTGTCCCTAAGTGTTATGAATATTGTTTTCCTAGTTTATCCTTTGTCTTTTGCCATCAGGAAGTTATAATTTACACTGTAGTATGGCCTTTTCCTTTGGGACTTTTGGCTACAAAAGCCTTCATATGTTTCCTTTTAGCACTTACATTATTTCATTTTTGTACGTTTGTATTTTTGATCTGAATAGCTAGCCACTTGTTATAACTGCATATATTAAATAACTTTAGATTAAATTTAAGCTACTATTCTTTTATCATTCCAACTCCATAGAAATGCTTCAGTTGCTTATGTTTCAGCTATGAAGCAAGTGGTTTCTTCTTTCAGATTCCTTTCTCCAAGTTTTTCTTCTCTAATCAAGGAAGAGTCCGAGATGCCCAGTACCAGCTCCTGCTTGATAAGGTAACATTTTCTTGTACTTTTCACTCAGTGAAACAGAACTCCTATGAGGACGAGTTCAGTTTTGAAGGCTGGCAAGGGGAAGATGAAAACCCCAAATTGGGGCTCACAATAGAGAATTGGGCTGGCTTTTGTCCTTAGTTCCTGGGAGGTGACCTCTAATCCTGTGTAATAAAGAATTGGGCTGGCCTTTGTCCCTGATTCATAGGAGGGAATCTCTGTTGTTGTTGGTAGGTGCCGTAGGGTTGGTTCTGACTCATAGCGACCAAATGTACAACAGAACGAAACATTGCCCTGTCCTGCGCCATTCCTGTGTTCTTTGCTGTTTGAGCTCATTGTTGAAACCACTGTATCAATCCGTCTTGTTGAGGTCTTCCTCTTTTTCGCTGATCCTCTGCCTTACCAAGCACGATGTCCTTCTCCAGGGACTGGTCCCTCCCGATAACGTCCAAAATATGTGAGACGAAGTCTCGCCATCCTCGCTTCTAAGGAGCATTCTGGCTGTACTTCTTCCAAGACAAATTTGTTTGTTCTTCTGGCAGTCCATGGTATATTCAATATTCTTTACTAACACCATAACTGAAAGCCATCACTTCTTCTTCAGCCTTCCTTTTCATTATCCAGCTTTCGCATGCCTGTGAGGCGATTGAAAATACCATGGCTTGGATCAGGCGCACCTTAGTCCTCAAAGTGACATCTTTGCTTTTGAACACTTTAAAGAGGTCTTTTGCAGCAGATTTGCCCAATGCAATATGTTGTTTGATTTCATAACTGCTGCTTCCATGGGCGTTGATTGTGGATCCAAGTAAAATGAAATCCTTGGCAACTTCAGTCTTTTCTGTTTGTCGTGATGTTGCTTATTGGTCCAGTTGTGAGGATCTTTGTTTCCTTTATGTTGAGATGTAATCCACACTGAAGGCTGTGGTCTTTGATCTTCATCAGTAAATGTTTCGAGTCCTCTTCACTTTCAGCAACAAGGTGGTGTCATCTGTGTATCGCAGGTTGTTAATGAGTCTTCCTTCAATCCTGATGCCACGTTCTCCATATAGTCTAGTTTCTCAGATTATTTGCTCAGCATACAGATTGAATAAGTATGGTGAAAGGATACATCACCTTTTCTGATTTTAAACCACTCAGTATCCCCTTGTTCTGTTCAAATGACTGCCTTTTGGTCTATGTACAGTTAATTTCTAAATCCTTGGAATTTCCCAAGTGGTTAGAGTGACTTTGTTATTCATGGTGGGCCACATCTACTAGTTTGTTAGTGAGGTGATTCATGGTGTGCCCTTTGGTAGTTTAAACTCAGTTGAGATAGCTCAGAATGGGAACTGGCCATATCAGAAAGATAAACCAAGTGTTTAGAGGTTTGAACTTTGAGCCATGTGATACCAACCCAGCCTCCAAGGAAGGCAGAAATTGAGCTCAATCACCTGGCTCATGTTTCAGTCATGCCTACCTAATGAAGCCTCAATAAAAACTCTGGCATCAGGGCTTGAGTGAGCCCCTCTGATTGGCAATATTCTGTGCATTGTCACACACCAGCATGTTGGGAAGGTGACACATCCTGACTCCATGAGGAAAGGATAATGGAAGCTTCGTGTTTGGGACCCTCCCAGACCTTGCTCTGTGGGTCTCTCTCTTTGGCTGGTTCTGATCTATATCCTTTTCTATAATAAAACTATAATCATAAGTATAGCGCTTGCAGTGAGTTCTGTGAGTTGTTCTGGTGAATTACCGAACCTGAGGAGGTAGTGGGAACCCCTGAATTTGTAGCCAGCTGCTCAGAGGTGTTAATGGCCTGGGCCTCCCAAGCTTATGGCTGGTGTCTGAAGTCTTGGGCAGACTTGGCAGTATGGAGGACTATGCCCTGAACCTGTGAAGTTTTGACCTGACTCCGGGTAGTTGGTGTTGAAGTCATTTGCTTTGGCCAACCCTGTTACACCCACACAGATGTTGACTCACTTAGATCTGTCCTGTGAGCCAAACCCCCATCCTGGAGGAATTCCAGTATGGTCATCTTTTGAGCAGAGAACAGTGTTAGAGTTCAGGAGAGCTTCAGGAAACCTCCATTAGACATCCATGTTGTCATCACTGACCTTACACGTCACTCAGGAGGAGTGTCACTGGAATGTGGAAGGAAAGCAGCCTCGTACTTCCTGTTGTAATTTGCTACAGCATATGAGAGCTAGCTGCTAAGGGCTGATAGTGTCAAAACCCACTACAGTAATCACTTCATGGAATTTTAAAACTTCAGGAATAACATCAATATATGAGATTTTAATAAACTTCTCTATTTTAAATTTAGATCTCTTCTATAGGATTTACCCTGGCTGATAAAGTTGATGGTCCTTTCTTCCTGGAAATAGACTTTATTGGAGTGTTTGCTGATCCAGCCCACACAGAAGAATTTGCCTATGAAAATTCTCCAGATCTTAACCCAAAACTCTTTAAATAAAGATCATCTGGCAGTTTTGTGTTACTAAACTAAGGGTAGTAGCATCCACAGTGACAGATGAAATAAAGTATTCTTTAATAGTATCCAACCCATGGCTGGTATGAGTTCTCTAAGACAAGGCTAAAGGCAGTTGCTCAGAGGGCCCACACAGGGAACACGGCATGAAACCAGGCTCTGATCTGTGCCTCAGCTCAGAGAATGTAAGTACTGATTCAGAGGGACTGTGTCAATACTGGTTTTGATTAGAATGTGTTTGACAGTTACTCAGAGGTGTTTTGATTGATCTGACCTCTGCCTCTTGATAGGGAAATCTGATTTTATCAGTAAGTATCAATAAGTGCAGTAAGCATACTACAATCTGACAGGTGCTGTGGGACTGGAAAGGAAGGACATGTTCACTTCTTTCTGGGGTGGTGAGAGTGGAGGTCACGAGAAGATTCATCAAGGGTAAATGTACACTCTTGTTCATCTTAGCTGATCAGCTGCACTTGGAAGGCTATTATGTTTACAAAGAAGGAATCTACCATAATGAGAAAAACTTTTATTTGTGAAAATCTTAAGCAGTACAAAACTCAAAAATTCCACTTAGGTGCAACCAAGATGGTTATGATGCTAAGCAACTCTAGTTTCTTCCATAAATTGAATAAGATGCTAGTTTGACAGAACATAGTAATCCGTAAAGCAGCAATCCTAAAATTCCCATATGGCCCTGTAGCTTTTATTTTTAAATAAGAAAGGCTAGAATGAATTATAGAGTTTTGTTTTTAAGGATATAATGAGTGACAGATGGCAGTTACATGAAACGATCTGAACAAAGGTGCCTATAAGCTTAAACAAAACCATTTTTCGCTTAGGTAAACTATTGATGCCATAACCAAACCATATGGCCCACAGTTTCATTAAGATTACTGGATTCTCTATTCTAGATGATGAAGATGTGACCTTTCTGTCCCAGCTTCCCCTATTCTCAACCTGTTATTTTCAGCTTTCGAATGTTAAAATCTTTTCAGAGATGCAGTAGGTGAAGAGGCCGTAGACACTACACATACTATGAACAAAGAGTAGAAAAAGGTCTTTTGATGAGAGTGAGGACAGCATAAAAATATTTACAGAAGCAAAGAAAAAAAGGGTTAGAATAACAGAATATTTACAGAATATTAAGAAATTATTAACTTGCTGCTCTAACAAGGCCTCTTCGAGCTCCCAAAACCTTTGCTTTCTTCTCCTTCCGTTCTTGCTCGCGCTTCTTCCGTTGCTCTTCCCTAAGAGGCACAGGTCACAGGTTAGGCTCTGGTGAAGCACCACAACAGACACTTCAGCACAATGGCTGTTGGGCTGATGAGTGACACCCAGCACACTTGTGGAGAACAGACTCTTACAGGACACTCTGCTCTACCATAGTGGTCCTGGAAGACGGGGCCACACCTACACGTCATTGTTGTGTTAAAGGACTAGAAATTGGTATTTTCCTTTTTGTGTTAATTCAGCATTCTAAAATCAAGCATGGAATTGGAAGCAGAGGGCACCTTGGTAATTGAATCCAACCCCTGTACTTTTCTGTTTTTAGATGAGACGTCTCTACCTCTAGAAGTCAAAGGTCAATCTCAAAAATCACAGTAGTCTCGTGAAAATTCTGGAACTGGAACCAGGGTCTACTGACTCAAGCTACTATGTTTCGTTTTTCTAGAGGAGTCTAAGCAAAAAAAAAAAAAAAAAGCCCAGGATAATGTTATTTTAATAAGAAATACAGTTGTAAAGCTGTCTTGATGGCAGCTGGACATATGTAAGACTCAAATGACAGGTAACCTCATATCAGAAAGGGTCCAGTCAGGCAATCTGGACTCAACCAGGACCCGCTCTGACTTTAACCTGGTTTTCATGCCTATGGAAGCCTCTAAGGACCATCCTGGCATCTTCCCTAGTGTAGGGCCTTGCTTGATGCATTACAGTAAGCCTGGTTTTCTTGGGCTCGAGGAATTTACATCTACCTGGTGGTATCGCTGTGTGGTGCAAATGGTTAAGCACTCAGCTGCTAATTGAAAGGTTGGTGGTTCAAGCCCACCCAGAGGTGCCTCAGAAGAAAGGCCTAACAATCTGATTTCTGAAAAATCAGCCATTGAAAACCCTATGGGGCACAGTTCTACTCTGACACACATGGGGTCACCATGAATCAGAATAGAATCAACGGCAACTGGTGTTTTTTTTTTTTTTTCCTTTGGGTACCTAGGTACCCTGGGCACTTGAGCACTGGTGTTTGGAAGGCTATCCAAGTGCATTTCGTCGGCCGATAGGTCACGAAGAGCAACACTCTGAATCCGGATCTTCTTCTGAATTACCCGTGAAGCTTTGCAAACAACACAGAGGCTCGGGCCCTGTTCCAAACCTGCTGAATCAGAATCCATTGTCATGTGGCCTAGGTACTTGGAATTTTAGAAAGTCCTATAGGTGACTCCACTTCTAACCTCTTGTTAAGCATCACTGTTACTGAGACTATCTCTCAGAGGTTCTGCTTTTATATATAGCTGTTCATAATTAAAAGCATTGGACAGATAGACAATGATGTACTCACCTGGTCTGCAGATGAGGTTGTTTGTAAGTTTTCTTACGGAAGCTCACTCTGCTTACATATTCATTCAGAGGATTATTTTCTTTAGATTGCCCCCAAGGTTTCAACTTCCCTAGTTTAGGACAGAGGCAAAGAGATTGAAGAAGATTCTTGTATTTAGGTTCCAACTTTATGTTCTTCATCTGTGGCTGTCTGCTTGCTAGTAACATTTACAGACATTTGCTGTGTATTCTGCTATTTATTTCAATTTCACATTCCACAGAAACAAATTGCATTTTCCCTCTAAAAAACATAAATGTGTTCTATTTTTAAATCCTTGGAAAGTCACAGAAAAAAAAATGTTAATACAACATCCGATTACACAGCACATTACTAAAGGACGCCATCGCAACCAGGTGGTTGATCCTGAGAGTGCAAAGATACGTTTAATGTTAAAGTAGTACTTCATCCGTGTCGTTTGCGGTTACTGTTAACCTACTGAAATGCATGAGATGGAATAAAAGTAGGAATATTTTGTTGGTTTTAGAACTGAGACCAAATTTCCAGGTATTGTTTTTTTTTTATTTGTATATAGTTTATGATATATGTTTCCAAGGACCAATGATTTCTATTTGTAGTATATCCCATTTTATCATCATATTATTTAATCCTTTCACTAACCTCTGAAATTATTACTATTTATTTTCTTTTCCATAAAATGGGAGGAAGTAGGTCTAGGACATAAAAACAGAAAGAAGCACTGATGAGGCTTCTTCATTCAGGTTTTCTAACATCAGCAGAAGTGAGTGGTGGTCAGAGTCATTCACCTGACATCAGGTACGCAGTACGTGCCAGGTGCTGTTGTGGTAGAGACAGATAATAACATAAGGCCAGGTGGTGCTAAGGGCTGTGAAGAGGTGTAAAACAGGGTAAGGAGATAAAAATCCATGATGGGAGGCAGGGGGAGGAGGGAAAGCCTCTGAACTGATGACAGTCGAGTGGATGCCCCAATAAAAGAGGGAGGTAAGCTATGCAGAGGTCTGCGGGAGGAGTACTTCAGATAGAGCAAAAGGAATAGTGAGTTCAAAGACCCCGAGGTGGGCATGAGCACGGTGTGTTGGGTGAAACAGCACTGTGGGTGGAACATAGTCAAGGAAGGAAGGCAATGCAATGAGGTTGGGGGAAGAGAGACGGGAAATCTTTGGGGGTTCTGAGCAAGGCAGTGATATGCCCTGATTTGTTTTTAAAATGTTGTAATGGGAACAGAGGCTATTCTAGAAGGCCAGGTAAGGGATGATGGTGACCTGGACCAAAGAGGTTCGCAGTAGAGGGGTGAAACGTCAGATTAAGGATCTGTTTCGAAGGTGGAGCTGAAAGGACTAGCTGATGGACTGGCTGTGTGTCTGAGAGAGTGTCAGGAGGAAAGGATGACTCCTAGGTTTTGTCCTGAACAGCTAGGTGGATAGGGGTGCCATTGCTACAGATGGGAAAGGCTTGGTGAGAAACAGTGGGAGGCAGGCCGGGAAGTAGAGTTCTCTTTTAAGCATGGCTTAGCTGACTCTTACCCTCTAAATGACTCAGATTTACGTTTCATTAACATTAGCAATTTAAAGAAGAAACACTTTTACATTAGTGTAATTCTTTTAGGAAGTTTCTTGTTTTAAACTTCTTCCAGAAACACTAGAAGATAGATTACCTTAGGTTCTGGTATTTTAAATGGATATATGGTCACTTTAACATATGCCCAAGATTGACAACTGGCTGATAAACGTGCCAGGTTGTTGGACTGGCGGTTCCCAACCTGGGAACCTTTGAAAGCTGTAGAGAAAGCTTTCATTTACTGAAAAGAAGTTGTACAGGTAATTTTCAAGTTTCTTGATTTTGGTTTAAATCTTATTAATTTTTTGTGGTAATACTGGTTAGAAGTTAAGACTTGATTAATAAAAATGGAAGTGAATTAATTCTTTAATATTTGGTTGCATAACAGACAGTCTTGTCAATCCTGGCTCTCTCTGTATGGAAGCAGGGACAGGGATTCTAGGTCATCAAGCGTGGCTCGCACTGAGTCACTGGAATTTTTTCACATCCTGAAGTCCAGAATGGTTTACTCTTAAGTCTTTTGCATGCCCTGTACCTCAGAACACCCCCACATACCTTTGTGTGGCTCATAGGTGAGGGGACGAGACAAACTTGCTTTGAGGTCAAACACTGGTTTCTTATTGGAGCTGGGAGTCTGCACGGCCTCTGCTGTCAACTTCAAGGGGGTAATCACTTAAAACAAACAAACAAACCAAGTGCTTCATTAGGAGAAAAGACCTGCTACAGATGTTGTTGTTGTTAGATGCCGTCCAGTCGATTCTGACTCATAGCAACCTTATAGCACAGAGTAGAACTGCCCCATAGGGTTTCTGAGGAGCAGCTGGTGGATTCAAACTGCTGACCTTTTGGTTTGCAGCCTGAGCTCTTAACCACTGCGCCACCAGGGTTCCCTGCTACAGATAGTTCTTATCAGAGTGTCACTTCTCAGTCTGTATAAACAGTCTGAAACAGATGTAGGGTAAACAAGGAGTGAGAAAAGGGGAGAAAACAATAACTGAGGAAAGCGAACCCCTGTTAGAAGCTCCCCAAATAGTCTGGATGTTATGACATTTCCTAGGATCAGCTGGGAGTTTAGAATCCTGTTGAAAGAAATAACTGGGTAATTTTTCAGGTGAGTTTCCTTATATTAGACATCCATTTTCACTTTATATTCTTAATAGTAATATTTTTATAAACACAAATCTAAAGCTTTCAAGAAACCTCATCACAGTATGGAGAGGAAAACATTCATGGCTCTGCATCTGGGGTCTTAAAAGCCTGTGAGCAGCCATCTAAGATACTCCACTGGTCTCACCCCTTGGGGAGCAAGGGAGAATGAAGAAAACACGTTACAAGGAAAAGATTAGTCCGAAGGACTAATAATGGACCACAACTACCATGGCCTCCACCAGACTGAGTCCAGTACAGCTAGATGGTGCCTGGCTACCACCACTGACT